GCATGTATGCATGTATGCATGTATGCATGTATGCATGTATGCATGTATGCATGCATCAATCTTCCAGTACGATACAAGCAGTAAAGATCGCGTTGCTAGTGTAATAATGTAAACTATCGTGAGAAACGAATAATCGTGCTAAAGATAATTGACATTTGTGTAATGGTCATTTGCATGATCCAGAAAGTTGTGTTAACATTTGAGAGATTTTCTGTTAATCTGTGGTGTTGAGACACAGAAGCAACTTGTGTTAGATTTCACTAGAGAATGTGCCAGTTGTGTGAGAGCGATTTATTTCTTTATATAGCCGACATAGCTATTAGAGCCGACATACCATAGCCGACCATACCATAGCCGACATACCATTATATCCTATAGTAGAGACTTATTTTGTTGTATTCCATATAATTTGTACAAGAGTACTATTGTTCTACAAAGGGAAGGATGTAGATTGGCCTGCGTGCTTTGTGTATACGTGGTTATGTGACCAGAGTTGTGTATGCATTTCGATAGGGGTCGCTCGCTCTCTCGGCTCGCTGGTGTGTAAAGTATAAATAAGAAGTAACAAAACTTACAAGCGCGAAGTTCGAACAATGAAGTTTTGTGTTAGATTTATCTGACCAAAATATTTTTATGTATTAAATACTTGCATAAAACACTACTTTGAGTAAATAAATTGTGGTTTTCGGGGGGAAAGCAGCTTTAAATAGTTCCAATATTCCATAATAAATGCATACTATGTATTTGCTCGATCTAAATTACTAACCCAATTATAATTACAGTTAAATATATTTTAGTAAAAAAGAATCGCGGAGAGAATCAATGGTGACACTCGGCTAACATTATTATGTTGCTCCACGAGGATTTTTACATCAGTCTACACTTGGTAATAAAGAAAATTGTACCTATGGGCCCCCCGGACCTTCCGCCACGAGCTTTAAAACCACGTTTCTCACAGGCTGCCCCCTTTTTCAAATCCTGTATCTGCTCTTGAGCACTATGTCTATGACGGCTATGTGGACGCAACTTGGAATTTACGTGGAAATTTTACTTTCACAAATTTTGGTATAAAATATATTTGTGGTACACATTGGGGTACAACTTCAAGTGCATAATCACACATTAGTCATTATAGCACTAACGAACAACCAGGCCACAGGTTAAAAAAAATCGTTTTTTAACCGGGGTCCCAATCTAGGAATAGGATTGGCCCCGAGGGACAGTTCCGTACACAGGCACTTGAAGCGTTTCAATAAAATATAATGCTAACTAAATACGAAATCTATTTACTACCAAATTCTTAATGTTTCTATACTCTCTTTCACCTATTATTTCCGACAGTTTCCTGTAAATTCCGTCCAAATCCTATGTGCAACAAACACTGACTGCCGCCATTCCTCACGCGGCTGCAGTGTGCACACTGACACTTATATATAGTGTATATATATACTATAGTAGTATACTACTATATACTAGACACTATCACACTATATATATAACTGTCGGCAAAAATAGGTGAGGTGTGTGTGTGTGTCTGGATCTGGATAGTTTACTGCATAGCCCACGGTTACGTGGATTATAACGCAGGGACATTCCTGAAGGAATTAACGTCCAGGGCTATATAGCTAGCGTAGTCCGGCTGAGAGGGTCTATGTCCCCCGGGGTACTGCCGGAACGTACCCTGGGTACGGTCTGGTATACCGGAACGTACCCTGGTACTATCTAATATGCCGTACCGTACCTCGCCTACTCCACTAACGAGTCTAGGGAGTCGCCTAGCTACGCCTACTCCCTAACCCTAATCCTAACCCTAACCATATCAAATAGTGACCAGGGTACGTTCCGGCAGTACCCTGGGGGACATAGACCCTATGAGCCCTAGTCCGAGCCGACGCATACCCCAGTAATGGATAAACCCGCACCCTCATATAAACCCAGATATAACCCCTCAGATAAACACGCACCCTCAGATTAGCAAAGCAGAGTTATAACGTCTGCATTTGCGGACTATAGCTAGCCATGAAGTTAAAGAGGTGAAAGAGAGTATAGATCGAAACATTAAGAATTTGGTAGCAAATAGATTTCGTATTACGGTATTTAGTTAGCATAATATTTCATTGAAACCCTTCAAGTGCCTGTGGTTCCGTACGACGGTCTGTTTACAACTCTGTACAGTGCGTGTATTGTAAATTTAAAATAATAACAATTAACATGTTATACGTCACAACGCATTATAAAACATAGGTCTCAAACAACCTATATAAACAAACACAAGATACTAAAACAAACAGCATACTCAATGAGTGAGGTTCAATGCTCTGCTTTATCTTTAACACGTCCTCTTCAGAGAAACCGGCCCAACCTGCCATGTTCGTTCACGGTTTACAAAAAGGTGCCACGTTCAATGATTCTGTTTATTCATGAATGAATGAACTTGAAAGTTGAAGCATCATTTCCATTCACTCAACGTAAATAAATGCATAATTAAAATATACTAATAATTTGATCCACTCGCACAACACTCAACAGTATATTATATGCGTAATAATATAAGCAAGACATGATTATAAAATAAAAAACAGGATAACCAGAAAGTGCAGAAACAAGAAGCAAGATAACTTACTTGATGAGAGGCGGCATGAACAAGGCGATCCCAGCGCCCTCCATGAAATTGCGTTCTCGTCTGCGTTTCAGTTTTTGTCCAAAAATATTACTTCTACTTCTGAATGAGTAATCAGTAATCAGTACTAATCTGTCTTGTTACAGTATTGATTATCATGGAAAATGAACTAATTTGCAATTTTAAGAAGTGTAGGAAAAGGCTGAATACATTCGCATGGGTAACGTCGTGTTCTCGTATCCTTTAATCAGTGGTTATTAATATTATTCTTATTGAGTTATTCCTATTAAAATATTATTAATATTATAATATTTATATATTATTATTTGCTCTGTAGGCCTACTGACACTGCATTAGTGCATAGCTCTACTCAGAACTCTACCATGTCTACTCTAGACTAGTACTATACTCTATACTATCCCTAATATACTGTAAATTAATAATAATATACTATAATGTACTGTACGTTCACATATAAAATGATATACCTACTAAAAACAATTGTACCTATCTATTTGTCATCACTTGAATTGACCTTAGTAAGTTATTACAGACATTTTCTGTGAAGAAGATGGTGCCAGAGAATTCCAGAAGAAATTTGTGTGTCCAGCGTGTAATTATAATATTATTAATAATAATAATAATAATAACGGTATTTTGTATATACAAGCATAATAAATAATGTTGTCTTTCTGTTTAGTGTTTCACTGATTTCACTTAAATTAAAATTATATTAGGCCAATCATTTTAATATTTGAAACTTTGAAACTATACCTACTATATAGTTTACTGTGAATCTGTGATGTTAACCTCATATGGGCAGAGCTACTGAAACATATACAAAGGTATTTTGTAGGTGAAGCCAAGTTGTCAGGGAAGTTCGATATTATCAGAATTGACCTGTGTGCATCAGAACAATACAAGTCTGTACGTATACATTAAGTGGACTAAGAGATGACTATAATTAACACAGTAACAGATGCCATGCCTTCAATAGCACCATTCAGGAAACTGCTGGGCACATATCAAACCTTATAATCGGATGGGATTTCCACCAATGTTAGAGCGAGTAATAATAAACCTGTAGCATAATAAATAACTGCCTTTATTGTTGTTTTAGTTCGTTCCTGATGGTACAACTTGGAAACATAATAGATATAAATTCTCGGTTTCTTTTTCTTATTTCAGATGGTCCTTGCAGGACAACGCCCAGAAGTTGTTTTAGAAATTGCATCCAGAGCAATAGCCTTCTGGACATACCAGGTATAAAGGCCACACTAAGCCCGGCGCACATGTGAGTAATTTTACTCAAGTAAAAATATGCATACATCAAAATACTCAACGAAAATCCGCCGCACATGTGAGTATTTTGACGCATGCATCACTTTAATTGAGTAAAATTACTCACGTGTGCACCGGGCTTTAACTATGCATATATATATAGCCATGAACATGTATTCTCACACATCAGCTAGGGTTCTCCAAGCCTTTTCATTATAGCATGGGGGTGCTGCCTTTACGGTCCTAGTTGCGCTGATAGGGTCTATGTCCCCCAGGGTACTGCCGGAACGTACCCTGGTAACTATCTGATATGCTGGACCGTACCTCGCTTACTCCCTATACCGTACCCTGACTGTCCCTGTTCCGCCCACTACTGATGTCGCAAAATTTGAAATATACATACAGACCTGTATGATATCTTTATAAAGTTGGATTGCAGTATGAAACTGTGAACCCAAGAAGATATTTCAACCTATATACACTGATGCGCGCAATCCTTTTGCAAATATTGCGATGATCGTGAATGCGTTTTCCCTTCGCAATGTTTACGACATTTTCGCACGAGATTTTTGAAAGATGGCTCCAATTAAGTGTTGTGGTGGAACAGGAAAATTTGTATGATTATCTTAATGGGTTGGAAACGTATAGACTCGCTGACACTAGACGGGAGACACTAGACTAGACGGGATCGAGACACTAGACTAGACGGGAGGTGAAACGTAACAGGGTAACGGACAGGGTTACGAATATTTTGCGGGAACGGACCGGAAACAAGGAACGGGAGCATAAAGCGGTGCGTTTCCTGCCGACAAGCGGTATGTATTACGACATCGGCTGAAAGTAAGGGTACGGTTTGGAGTAGGCGAGGTACGGTCAGGCATATTAGATGGTTACCAGGGTACGTTCAGGCAGTACCCTGGGGGACATAGACCCTATCAGCCCTAGTTGCAAATCGCTGAAGGCGGTTTGCATGCTTGGGGGGTCCGGGGGCTATGATATTTAGCATGGCGGCTATGATATTTAAAGTGGCGGGTGCATTTTAGGATGGCGAGGCTCGACGATGGCCTGGCAGGCCGCCAGGCTATAAGTGCTCTTGGAGAACCCTGCACGCACATATGTAAGATACATATATGTTCATGATGTAACTGCGTGGCTATATGTGCATGCATACAAGTACCTATATTTTGATCACCGATATTCCAGCACCTTTGGGACCAGAGCTATATATATGCCGGTCCGGACAAGCTATTTTTTCGGACCATCAAGGCTAGGTCTATAGAAGGCTATAGCTACCTCTTTTATAGATGCATGCCTCCTACCTATTATCTTTACACCTTGGATTAACTCTATAGCACCATTGACTGTAGAATACAATACAACTGTGACATTGTAACACAGAATATAACTTGGTAAACTACAGTTAGAGAGTCTGTAGTGAATTGTAAATTTCACAACCATAAAACTATCCTGATCATTAGAGATACCAGGCCATTGATTTAAAAAAATTCAGAGGTCAACCTGTAATGTATAAATCACGGTAATAAGTGCATAACTTGCCTGACTGATGTATAATGCTTTCCTATACATTTACATTTTGATTACCGTAGACACATCAAGAAAAGATGTATCAAGAGCACATCGGCTGCAAGGCGAAGGAGAGGAGTCAGCAGTTGGAACAATATTATGGGCAACTACTCACGAAAGTGCAAGCTGAACACAACAGTATCCACAAATAGTTTTCTTGAGCATATGTACTACATCGATTTAATATTAATAACCATCCGTATATAGGTGCATGTAGCATAGGTTGTTTTACCACAACTCTGGCTGTCAAACCCTAGATGGTTTGGAGTCTTTTAAAGTTTAAGATAAGTGCATTGCTTGCTTAAAAGTTAATAGCAGTTGTTTTATACAGGTTGACTGAATCTAACTAGAAGTAAAGAACATTTTAAATGTAAAAATCTTTCAAATTTATGTAATCATGAAATATAAATTCATGGAAACAAAATTCATTTTTCCTTGACATGCTCACAGCATTGACATCCCAACTGAAAGGTAACTAATATATATGATGTTCATATTTATGTAAAATATGTGTTCCCTGGTATCCTATCATTTTTGCATTAACTTTATATATATATAATCTAAATCTGCGAGGTATTTTGTTTATCCGATTAGAGTTGTTGTTTATAGCTAGTAAAACGGAGGTAGAACAGCTTAAGACTCGATACAATGAAGTCCAGGAGAAAATGATGGAGAGAAACAGACAATACCAGAAACTGCAGGTAACTGGAGAAATTAAAAAGCAATTTTTCTAGAAGTAGCCAATCAGATCGTAAGATCCACTGTTGCCATTTATATTTATTTATAAATTACATGTTCATGATTACATATATATCGTCGATGATCTTGATCTTACATACAGATTATTATGTCATAAGACCGGTTGGTGAACATACAAATTAATCACGCACCACTTCTGTCTGTATAATACTCCCTTGCAGACTATGTATGAAGCACTTCGAAGGAAATGCATCACACCTCATTCCTTTGACCAGTCCGAGGGTCAGTTAACCCACAGTAACACTCCACGCCAACAGTTTGGCATGCCACTAACATCTATTAAAGGTAAATTTTAAAATTCAGTTGAAGTTTGATTATCGATTAGGTGTATGTATGCCATGCTGTAATTTCACCATTTTCTTTATATCACGTACTGCCTGATAGCAATAAAGATACGCTCCATACGAAAGCAGTATAATAATCAGATAATAATGCATCACTGCATTATGAATTGTAACAAGAAATTCTGCTGGTATATCCATATAGATGCAACCAGGGGTGAATAATGACAAATTTGTCAGTATTCACCCCTGATGCAACCTAATTTGTGACATTGTGATTGTGTAAGTTTTAAATACCATTTGATCATCATTGCTCTGCTTCTTATAACCTATTGATCATTGTGTTCAGATGTGATGCGTGCTCCCACCAGTGCTGCTCAGCTGTCTCCATACGGCCTCGTATCTCCGTCACTGCCCCAGCATAGGAATCCTCAGCACATAATTACTCCTAATGTACCTTCTCCATACGGAGTGTCTCCACGTACAGCACAACGTAAGCAGTACACTGTTCACTTTCCTTTGTTTTCTTACAAATTGTACAGTGAAGCTGGCTACAAAAGTTGGATAGACTCAAGACTGGGTAGTTTGGACAGACCATCATCTGTGATTAAAAGAGGCACATGCCTCATAGGCAGTCCCTCATATATATATATGAATAAAACTCTATGAAATATATCTAGATACTTGTGCGCAAGTCTTAGTAACATATATTTCCAAATTGCTTATGGCTGGCATTACAAGTAAGACTAACTTTGTTATGTTTGTTCACTTGTAGGAGAATACCTTGCCATGTCAGTCTCACCAATGTCCATAGGGGACCACGCTCGAGCAGGAATCTCTAGTGCCCAGCGTACGATGCACCCAAGCAGGTTCATTATCTCCCCTCCCACTGACAGGAGGTAGAATTCCAGTCACCGTTCTAGAATTTAATTCAATTTATTTCAATTCAATCACTTTATTTACATTTATGGCAAT